AAATTATTGTTAATTTAGTTTAACTTTAATTAGATTTTTTTATAGGTTTTTTAAACTGTATTGACAATAATCGTTTTCTAAACATTAAAATGCGTAAGAAAATTGTAATTTTTGTAATAAATAATTAACAATAATTATTAAAGTTTTATCATTTATTATTATGTTGAAAGATAAATTATATTACTTGTTAAAAATTCGCCGTAGCTGCGCCAGTAACGTCAACTATAAACCAACCTCAAATTCACTGAAGACCTTCTACACTCTCTGAATGGCACAAAATCACTCTCTTCGATGGCAACAAAATCGAAATCTAACTTTGCTTCCTCCCAAATCTGCTGGCCATAAAACTTCCTTCTTAACCAAACTAACACAATTTCAATCAAGAACAACTTTATCATTCACCTCAACAACGAACAACTTACCACCACCCTCTTTTAACACAATATGCACCCTTTGTCGCTGAACTGATTTTTGATAAGATTCAACATTTTTTCCATTCTCCATGATCATCTTATCACAATGATCTATTCACCAAAAATTTCTGTTAATTCTCCATAATACATGTAAAATAATGGCAAAATGTAAGTTTTTTCTATTTCACCATATGTCTTCATATACACGATACATGTGAAATTTAGGGAGAAATCAGCAAAAAAATAAGCCCTGAATCAGCTAAGAAGGAAATACAACTAATATTTATTAAATAAAAGATTCAACAGCTAATGTTTATCTTCAATACAGCTAATGTATATCTCCAATATAATGTTTATCTCCAATATCCCCCCTCAAGTTGGAGCATGAGGATTACGATGCCCAACTTGTGTAGTAGGAATATAAATTGATCAAATTTGAGGGCCTTGGTGAAAATGCCTGCGAGTTGAAGTTGTGTAGGAACATATCGGGTGCGAATGTCATGAGATTGCAAGCGTTCACGAACAAAATGACAATCAATTTTAATGCGTTTCATCCGCTCATGAAAAATGGGGTTAGCTGCGATATGAAGGGCATCTTGATTTTCACAATGTAAGTCCATAGGTTGCAGAGGAGAGATAGTGAGATCAGCAAGTAACCGTCATAACTAGACAAGTTCACTAGTGGTAGATGCCATGGAGCGATATCCAACTTTAGCAGAGGATCTAGAAACAATTTGCTTTTTTTATTTCCAAGTGATAAGGGAGGAGCCAAAGAAGATAAAAATAACTGGTAATTGATCTTCTAGACATCGGGCAACTGGCCCAATCAGCATCACAGTAGCCTTTAAGACAAAAACCAAAACTGGAGCTAAAGAAAATTCCTTGATTAGGGGAGGCTTTGAGATATTGAAGAACATATGTAGCTACATCATGATGAGGTTAACAAGGTTTTTGCATGAATTGAGGAAGAATATGAATAGCATAAGGGTTGTCGGGATGAGTAATCGTAAGATAAACTAGACGACCAACCAAGCGACGGTATTGTCCTGGATCCTTCAAAAGCTCCCCACAATCGGAAGATAAATGATGTTATTGTGGAAGAGGAAAAGATGCAGGTTTACAACCGATCATGCCCGTTTCTGTCAAGATATCAAGGGTATATTTTTGTTGGCAAAGAAGAATCCCTTCAGGAGAACATGCAACCTCTAAGCCAAGAAAGTATTTAAGATGACTGAGATCTTAATAAAAGAAAATCACTAAGATAATGCTTGAATTCTTGAATATGTGAAGCATCATTCCCAGCGATAACCATATCATCCACGTAAACTAAGAGGGCAAGGAAGGATTTTCCCTTAGTCAAGGTAAACAATGAGGAATCAGTTAATATTTTTTGTTATAAAATTAAATTTGTTATAATTGTTGAATAGAGGATAAATAGTCCACTCACAAACACTTTAATGACCATAAATAATGAGGAAACTCCATTATGCTGATAGGATTTAAATCTTTTCTATACAAATTAAATTGAGAAATATGATATAAAGGTTAGATGTTAAATTATGAGTAAAAAAAACTAATACAACAAATTACTATTTTCCTTAACTTAAAAATGGGTTTGTTTATATACCAACAATATTTTTCCGATTAGTAAGATCTTTAAAAAATACGTTCAAATAAGATGTCTTTAAGGTTATGAAAAATCTAGAATTTAACCCAAAAAAAAATACTATATCAATCATGTTACAAATCAATATTTATGTCATGATTTTTTTTTTATATATCTTTACAAATAATATGATTGATCGTCATTTAATTGATTGATTTACCGTATTGACATGTATATTCTAAATTGTGATTTAAATGTTGATTGTCATTTAAATGTTAAATCTCATAATTGTTTAGAATTTATCTATTTGTTTTAGAACTTTTAATGGATTTTGTAAATGATTATCTTCTTATAACCTTATATTTCCACTATTTATCTTAAGAAAAAGAAAAAATCTAGAATACCACGTGGATAACAAACATCTATTTTCAACAATTTATAAGCATCTCACAGCACAACACAAATCGCCGAGCTCGACAACGTGACCCTGTGATCCAAGTGGGGGCAAATAATTGATGGAACATTGGCTCAGTGTCATTGAGTTGGGTCCGGTTTGGCTTTCTATTGGCTTGCCAATTCCAAGCCAAGAGTTGAGCCATGTGTCTCCTGTGAAGAATAGAGCCACATGGGTTCTAGAGTTGGAGGGCACTGCGTGAGGCTGGTTTCACAGAGCAGCAACAACTTCCCGCTCTTGGCAGTGGAAGGCTAACAAGCCGATGCCAACCGGGTCTCAGTATGTGGCTCAATGGGTTGATCCCAAATAGACCATCACTTTTGTTTTTCATATTGAAACTTATGTTTTTGTTATTTTAAAACTTTATGCTTGTCTCTTGTTTATTTTTTATATTATTTATCTCTATAAATAAGAACCAAGAATTCTAAACTATTACGGGTGCGCCAAAAAATCAAACCCAAAAACCCATACCGAATTGTTAGGGGCAAAAAATGTCCTCGGCCCAAATAGGCCCAAATACGAAGACACCTTCATCCAATCCGGAAGCTCGAGCCTAACTCCAATAGGGCCCAAATTAGAGTTCTGCAGATGAGGCCCATTCAATATGATTTCTCAGCTCCTCACCATTTGGACCCAGGCCTCCTGATCCTTGAACACCTATTGGGGTTACGATCAACTCAGAGCCCACAGTCGCCTACGAAGTACTTTCCTACTTGAACTTTGCTAAAGAAGTCAATTACTATCCCAACTCCTCTAATGTCCGTATCCGAGGCACATTCGAACTCCCTTTCCTGCTGAGATAAAGGATCCAAAGGCTACACCCTTTGGGAAGACTACCACTACGAGGACTCTCATTCCCACCAGGACTCGGAAACCATACAGTCACTATTTAAACAAAGGTCAACCCTCTCACAAAGGACAGATTCCATTACACCCTCAAACCCTGAAGTTCCTATTCTTGAGAACTTCTTATTGCAGCCGTACTCACAGTTCTCGACTAGACTTCCGGTAACCTTTCTTCTCCCTAGCCCTCACTAAATTAGCCTCATTCAACCTTACTGACTTGGGCGTCGGAGTGTTAACGGCAAACACCACCCTGGTCTTTTCCGTCGCTTCACGTTTGTTTCCTTGCTTATGCAGGTGCAGCCGATCGCTAATGGCCTCAACCTCACAAGATCAGAGCCCCTTTTCGTACAGGTAGATTTTTACGTCTATAGTTTGGCGCCCACCATGGGGCCTCTAACAATCATTCGTCTCAACAAACCCTGCTACGTGAAGAAACACTCCATGGCTAACAATTCTGATAACACTAATCCTGGCCTCGAGGCCAAACTGGAGGCTCTGACCGCCCTCATGCAACAGCACTCAAACAAGGTGGCAGCATTGGAAGCTAAGAACACTGTCATCCGAACAGAAAACGCCTTCATCCGAGCCCAGAACCAATCTCTAAAAGAGAAGGTAAGTCAGTTTTATGATCTTGAGCTTCTGCCTTGTCAGGTATCACCCAATTGGTTCTGCACCATAGTTCCATCTATGCAACCTCTCCAAACTCCAGAGCACGAACCTTCGACTTCAGATAAGCAGTCGCGTCAACTATGTTCATCGTTGGTTGACGATTCAGCCCTGATTCACTGTGAACGGGGTCTGCCAATAGAACTCCTCTCGGTCGATCCGCCTCAAGCGCAAGATCAAGGCGTCCAGGTGACAGAAAGCCCGCTACAACAAGAGTCACCCATCCTTGCCATCCCACCTCACCTTCAGTCAACCGTCCCTACACAAACTCCCCTCGGTTTGGTTCATCCTCACAGGTCAAGCGGCCACCCACTTCAAACCATCCTGCTCGAGTCTATCCATCCCAACGGACCGAGCAAGTACCAAATAACCCCCCTAACCATTCATGTAGGGCGAAACACCTATCAGTTACAATGGGAGTCACCCAACCGGAAGGAATGAACGGGAATCCAGGCTACCAAACGATACACGAAGGAATGATCCACCAGGCCACACCGCGTGGATTGACCCAACAAAATACATCGAGTGTGAATCCTATGGCCAACCAAGTCAATCAGGATGATCTAGTGGTATTCGCCTCTCCCATGGAACAGATATTAGCCAAGAGACTGGCCGACATAGAGGCAGTGATGAGGCTTATACTAGGAATGCCAATCCCTACCAAAAAGAGCAAGCTTTACTGTTATGCCGATTCACCCTTCGTGGATGCAGCCGATATGCCCCATAAATTCACTATCCCTAGCATGAAGCCGTACGATGGAACAACCAACCCAGATGATCACATAGCCTCATACAAGTAGCCGATGTTCACCGTCTCGTACCCCGAACACTAAGGGAAGCCTGCATGTGCAAGAGTTTTGGTTCAAGCCTTTTTGGTCCGGCTCTTTAGTGATACACTAACCTCCCGAACAGTTCAATCAACTCATTCGCACAACTCACTGACACCTTCGTTGAGCAATTCGCCGGCAAGAAACTTGAGAAACTATCGGCCGACCTGTACAGAGTATACCAAAAAATGGGGGAGCCGCTGAGAGAGTACGTCAGCAGATTCAACAAAGGAAAAATTTCCATCCCCTCTTGCAACCCCGAGATAGCCATAGACGCCTTCAGGAAGGGTCTCCTCCTAAATGGTGAACTATACAAAGAACTGATGAAGCTCGGTTGCACCACGATAGAAGACGCCTTGGCCAGAGCAGTGATTCAAATAAGGTGGGAGGAAGATGAGATGAATCGGGTGAGTCATGCAAGATATGACCCAAGGCGGAATGATAGAAGGCCAAAGCTCAAATCGATTGAACCCCGTTCGCCAACCCCTTCCACGCAATCTAAACAAAGTTAGAAAACCATATGACCGCCAGCCACTTAGAACTGACAACAGACCAACCGAATTGAGCCGATACAGAGTCCCAGAGTATAACCTCAACGTCGAACCAGGCCAGGTCGTGGCAATCATGAAAAGAATGGGATCTAGCGTTAAGTAGTCGAGCAAGCTCAATGCCGAAGCAAGGAGGGACACGACCAAGTGGTACGAGGTTAATGGCGACCATGGACACAATATCGCTGACTGCATTGCCCTGAAGTTAGAAGTTGTCGCACTACTGAAGAGGGGACATCTCCGTGATCTATTGACGGATAAAGGGAATAATATCATTAGCCAGAAAAGCACGAAAGAAACATCTCCGCCTCCACGAGAACCTACGCCAAAAGGATTCTGCTCAATCATCTCAAGAGGGTCGAAGATCAGTGGGGTCAGTTATTCCTCAGCTAAACGCTACGCCAAAGCCAACAACCACCATGAAATCCAATCCATCCATCTGTCCTCTCGATCAGACTCCCACCAGGTAATTCAATTCGAAGATGACAAGCCAGTCACCCTGGCCGCACCTCATCACGACGCTCTAGTCATCTCCCTCCAGATCGCCAACATCCTGGTCAAGAGAGTATTCATAGATGGCGGGTCCTCGGCAAACATTCTCTTCCTTGAAGTAGTGAAAGCCATGGGTCTGGAAGAAATAAACATCAACAAACAACCAACCATACTGGTTGGGTTCAGTTCCAAGCAGAAATACACCATCGGAGAAATCGTTCTTCTTGTTTATGCCAGCAGAGTGAACAAGCAAGCTGTTTTTCTAATGATCGACTGTCCTTCACCATACAATGTCATTTTGGGCTAACCGTGGATCCACGACATGCAAGCTGTTCCATCCACCTTCCACCAAACCATCAGGTTTCCAAAAAGGTAGGGAGTAAGGAAAATCAAGGGCGATCCCAAGGCTTCCAAAGATTGTTACAAGAACGCCATCAAAAGCAAAGGTCAAGCTTCATAGTAACTACAGTCTCATCCAACCCCTCCGACCAAGCCAGATCAACCATCTATGGAAGAGTTCGATTAAGTGCAAATACACTCGAAAGACCCAGAAAAAAAGACCCATATAGGCTCTTGCCTCGGGCCCGAGACAAGAGATAAACTAATAGAATTTCTCAAACGAAACCAAGACTGTTTCTCCTGGTCCCACGCTGACATGACAGGAGTCAACCTAGAAGCAATCGTCCACCACCTCAAAGTAGATCCGGATCACCCCCAAGTGAAGTAGAGGCATAGGAAATTCGCACCAGAGCGCAACCGGATCGTCAATAAGTAGATTGATAATTTACTGAATAACGGTCTGATCAGAGAGGTCCACTACCCCGACTGACTGGCAAACGTTGTGGTCGTAAAGAAAAAGAATGGAAAGTGGAAAGTCTGCATTGATTTCACGGATTTAAACAAAGCATGCCTTAAGGACTCCTTCCCGCTCCCACATATCGACATAATGGTCAATGCGACCGCAGGCCACAAGCTCCTAAGTTTCATAAATGTCTTCTCAAGGTACAACTAGATTTTGATGCACCCTGACGACCAGGAGAAAACAGCCTTCATCACAGAAGGGGAACATACTGCTACAAGGTGATGTCGTTCGATTTCAAGAACGTCGGGGCTACCTATCAGCTGCTAGTCAACAGAATATTTGCCAAACACCTCGGGGACACCATGAAGGTTTACATCAATGACATGCTCGTCAAGTCCCTAATGGCCGAGCAGTACCTCGACCACCTCAACTAGGCATTCGCCGTCCTAAAGAAGTATAACATGAAGCTGAATGCAGTCAAATTCTCATTCGGTGTCTCGTCAGGTAAATTCTTGGGATACATGATAACTCAGCGAGGGATAGAAGCCAACCTCGACCAAATCAGAGCAATCCTAAATATACCATCACCAACTTGCATCAAAGACGTTCAGCACCTCGTAGGACGAGTAGACGCCTTGAGCTGTTTCATCTCCAGATCCATTGACAAGTGCCACCACTTCTTCCACACACTCAAGAAATCTAAGAAAATTGAATGGACCCCTCCCTACGAGGAAGCCTTGCAACAATTGAAGAGATACCTGACCTCCCCTCCGCTCCTTTCCAAGCCTGTGGATTGGGAGAAGCTTTACACCTATCTGGCGGTTTCAAAGGCAACAATCTCAGCAGTGTTAGTTCGGGAAGATAATACGAAGCAACTACCAGTGTACTATGTAAGTAAGTCACTCCTCGACGCGGAAACATGATATAGTCAGCTGGAGAAACTGGCGCTCACCCTCGTTTATGCATCCAAGAAGCTCAAGCCATACTTTCAGTGCCACTCCATAGTCGTACTCACCTCTTTCCCACTCAAGAAGATACTATACAAGCCAGAGTTATCAGGCCGACTCACGCAATGGATGGTAGAGCTTAGTGAGTTTGACATATCTGTCCAGCCATGTACTGCCGTCAAGTCTCAAGCACTGGCAGACTTTATTACTGATTTCATCCCGAACACCATCGTCCAAACAAAAAGAGAATTATTATGTATTAATAGCAGATCGCCATCAAAGTGGACTCGCTCAATGGATGACTCAAGTAATGTGAATGAAAGCGGGCTCGAGTTAGTACTAACTACACCAGAGGGAGACGTCATTCAGCGGGCCAAACGATGTGGATTCAAGTGCACCAACAACGAAGCTGAATAAGAGGCTCTCATCGTTGAACTCTCCCTAGCCAAAGAAATCGAAGTAAGGAGGCTAGAGGTAAAGTCCGACTCCCAACTCGTGGTCAACTAGCTGCAAGGCACTTACCAAGCCCGCGACTCGAAGATAACATCCTACTTGAACCTGGTCAAAGAATTGCAGACCGAATTCGAAGAATTCTCCATCGCCCAAGTCCCAAGAGCGGAGAATACTCATGCTGACGCCCTTGCTAACCTCGGCTCAACCCTTCAATGTTCTTCCCAGTCATCCATCTCTCTTTTATTCCTACAATGGCTAGCCAACTGGAAGGAACAACCAACAAACAAGTCACCCAAAGAAGCAATGGACATCGAACTAGCCAACTCCTAGATGACCCCGATAATAAAGTACTTGGAACACAATGAGCTCCCAGCCGACAAGAACAAAGCACACTGCCTAAGAGCAAGAGTTGCCAAGTTCACCATGTATCAGGGTTAACTCCTTAGAAAGTCATTCTCCGGTCCCTACCTCAAGGGCATAAGCCCAAAAAAGGTCAAACAGGTTATCGCCAAACTCCATGAAGGTGAATGTGGAAACCATGCAGGAGGACGCAACCTCGCACACTGGGCAAACCCACTCAATCACCCACAATTTTTCCAGAAACCCAATATTCAAGCCTGTTCTAAAAACCAAAGCACGGCACCTCCAAACTCGGGCAAAATTTTTCAAAAAGAAAACAAACCAAAAACTTCCCAAACTCTCGCTCAATCCCCCCAAAAAAAACCACAAACATGAAGAAAACGAGGAACCAAACAGAAAAGGCAAAGAGGAAGTAGTTTTTACCGTAGAAATGGCCAAATCCCAGAATCCTTCGAAGCTATGAAGAGAACCTAAGTTTTAGAGAAAAATACAAAGAAAAAAGAAGAAGAAATGGGAGATGAAACAAACAATCGCGCCTCCAAGTATTTATCAGCGAAAAGGTGTCAGGCAACACGGGCACCATGCGAATGGTCATTGAGAACTGTGATCTTTTGATTTTCCCGCCCGAATTCAGAGGGCATCCCTATCGTACACGTGTCGAGAGAGGTTCTGTCCAGTTGTACTCCATCCCTGAAAGGTAACCCTTCGCTCGGCTCATCCGATCAAGCGGGGTCGTCATCATCATGGTTGATTATCCAGCCTTGGCTCTCCAGACTCACCCCAAATAATGTATAGCAAAACCTCGATCTCATTACTAGGTCGCCCCGATTGATCGAGCAATTTTACCCATTGAACATGTACGTGCCTTCGCCCGGATTCGACAAATCTTCCTGAGGTACCATAGGCACTTCAGGTCTAATATAATCCACTCAGATAGAGGCACCGACTGAGGACACCTTCAGGGAATAGCACGCTCGTCCACCTACCCGGTCTGGCACACAGATCGGATCCACCTCCAAGAGCTCACCTCCTAGACAGTTACTCGGCCTAACACACCGAGTGAATACACTTCAGTAGACAACTCTTTCATTCACGCAATCGGTCGGTCACACTGAGCGAATACGCGCTCGCGAGACTGCTTACTCATACAACCATTTGCTCGTCCTCATACACCGATTGATAGCATCTCCTTGGTTTGATTACACGCCCCAACTCAGTTAAAGGCACTGATTATGTTCATGACCACGTCGCCCCATCCATCCGGTCAGGCATATCGATGAACATACGGACTACGAGCTGGATCATGCTATTAGTCGGTCGACCACGAAGGCCGACCAGTTATGCCTCCAAGCGATGCCTACTCTCTAAGTTAAGTACTCTTTAACTCAAAGAGTGGGCGACAAAGTGTTAGGGCCAAAAAATGTCCTCGGCCCAAATAGGCCAAAAGACGAAGACACCTTCATCCAAGCCGGAAGCTCGGGCCCAACTCCAATAGAGCCCAAATCAGAGTTCTGCAGATGAGGCCCATTCAGTATGCTTTCTCAGCTCCTCACCATTTGGACCCAGGCCTCCTGATCCTTGAACACCTATTGGGCTTACGATCAACTCGGAGCCCACAGTCGCCTACGAAGTACTTTCCTACTTGAACTCTACTAAAGAAGTCGATTACTATCCTAACTCTTCCAATGTTCATATCCGAGGCACATTCGAACTTTCTTTCCTACTGAAATAAGGGATCCAAAGGCTACACCCTTTGGGAAGACTACCAGTACGAGGACTCCCATTCCCACCTAGACTCGGAAACCATACAGTCACTATTTAAACAAAGGTCAGCCCTCTCACAAAGGACAGATTCCATTACACCCCCAAACCCTGAAGTTCCTATTCTTGAGAACTTCTCATTGCAGCCGTAGTCACAGTCCTCGACTAGACTTCCGGTAACCTTTCTTCTCCCTAGCCCTCACTAAATTAGCCTCATTCAGCCTTGCTGACTTGGGCGTCTGAGTGCCTACGGCAAACACCACCCTGGTGTTTTCCGTCGCTTCACGTTTGTTTCCTTACGTGTGCAGGTGCAGCAGATCGCTAGTAGCCTCAACCTCACGGGATCAGACCCTCTTTCCGTATAGGTAGATTTTTACGTCTACATGAATCAAGCAGTATAGTTTGGATACTAAAATATCAAACTAAATCAAATTAAATAAAAATTTAAATAGATCGGTTTGAGTTAATGATCTTTGACTTGAGAAACCGAACCAAACCATATTATATATTTATCATATAATAGGATAATAGGATTCTAAATATATTTATTGTGAATAAACTTATTATATGTGTTTATTATGTTCATTATGTAAAAACATTTAAAAAAAAAAAGTCATACTCCTTGCTAAAACAAACAATCAAGAGTTATTATTGAAAAAATGGACAAAACAAAAAAGAGAAATCATATCTTTAAGAATTTAAGAAATTGTAAAATGAAACTCAAAGATTGTTAAAATAAATCACCATGGCCAATAAAGAAAATAATATGTTTGTGATAGGATGCTTCCTTTGCCATCATCCCACATACTTTTTCTTTCAACCACCCAAACCAACAATTTTTTTTTTTTTTTTAATGACCGAGGTATCTGAATCATCTTACGCGCACCACAACCAATCCTCGAGGTTTATTGAACACCCACAAACCCAATGTTTCAAGGTAGTTTGAATTCAAAAAGTCAATGAAGGGAACAAACTTTTTTTATCACCAACACAATCCCTTGGGGTTACAATTTTCTCTTTCACTTTCACTTTCCGCTATTGAACTACATTCTCATTGAATTTATGGCTCTTGGCTGCAGTGACTAGTTGGCTTTCTCCCTCTTAACTCCATTGGAAAATCACAATTCAACCTTTATCAATATGTTTTCATATATTGTAGTTAAATTTACAATTTTATTCATATTTTAAAAATTTATCCTCATGTAAATAGGGGATGGGGCTACTGATAAATTAACGGCGTTCAAAAATCACTTCCATTAACCCAACCCGAATCAACCCAATTGATATTGGTTTGGTTTGGTTTGGGTTTCAAATGAATGTGAGTTGGTTTGGGTTTATTTTTTGTACTTGAAAATATTTGGTTTGGTTTGGGTTTGGTAAAACCAGGGCCATTTCAAGGAAAGTAGAGGCCTAGGGCAAAAAATTCTAATTTAGGTCTTCTAATGCTTAATAAAAAAATCCATTCAAATTTTATATACAAATTTATGATATATAGAAGCATTTTAGAAAATAACGAATTTAGCAGCTTCAATTATAACCCTTGTCAACCTTATGACCGTTTGAACCTTAAAACATAAATTTAAACATACCCAGCTTCAGTTCTTCAATATCCTCCTATAAACTAATTCTTCTTTGTCCTTAATATTCCCCCATTAACTGATCCTTCTGATTTCATCTCATTATCCTTCCATAAACTACTCTTCCTAATTCTTCTCGATATCCTCCTACAAAATAGATAATGTAGTGCATTGTAGTTTGCGTCAAAAGTTTGAACCGAGTAGTAACCAAGGGTTTGGTGAGGAGAAAAACTATTTGATATTTCTATGGCTATATATTGAACAACTAATTGTTTAGAGTAACCAATTCTTAAACCAAACGTATATTTATCTCAATACGCTTTTGGTAAGCATAAAAGATAACATTTGAAGTTAGAGATCTTACACTTTGATTATCACACCATAAAACAAGATTAGAACTTGTAGATATGTGAAGTTCTTGAAATAGATTTTGAATTCATATCAATTCAATAGTAACTTATGCCAAAGCTTGATAATTCAACTTTTGTGGAATTGACAGCTACCATTTTTTGTTTGCGAGAAGCCCAATTAATAAGATTACAACCCAAAAAAATATAGTATCCACTTGTACACTTTTTGTTCATTGAATCACAAGCTCAATTTGCATCAGCAAAACTTCTAGAGAGAATCTACAATTATTATGAAATTTCAAACCATAATTAAGTATGCCTTGATTGTATCTCAGTACTCTCTTGCATGTTGTCTAATGTGCTTCAATAGGAGTTTGGAGAAATTGACTAAGTCTGTTAACCACAAAAGACAAGTTTAGCTTGTCATGGTTAAGTATTGAAGCTTCTTTTAATTTATCAAACCAAGCTATAGGAGCTTGTCTAAGACCGCAAAATGCTTTGTTGAGCTTACAAACACTTATGAGAAAATTTGAAGAAATAAAATATGCAAGTTCTGTCATGTAAATTGTTTTAGTTAAATCTCAATTAAGAAAAACATTATTGATATCAATTTGTTAAACTTTATTATCATAGAACACTGTTAGAGTAAGAATAAATTCTTATAGTATAAGGCTTCACCACCGCTGAGAAAATTTCAAAATAGTTTCAATTTGGAGTCTGCTGAAATCCTTTGCAACTAACCTAATTTTGTATTATTTCACATATCCATCAACATTGTGTTTGATCCTAAAAATTCATCTGCTATCAACTAAATTCATATGATCATGATAAGGTACTAGGGTCATGGTATTATTATAAAGGATCGAAATAGTCTAAGAGTGAGGTGAATTAACCATTATAACCACCTATGGTCTCTTTTCAACAATATGAAAAACTTTAAGCAATTTATGACTTAAGGTCTTTTCTAATGCAATTTGAGAATACAAACAATTAATGACTAGCATTTATACACTAAACTGGACAAAATAGAGAGATAAAGGAAGAGAGATGCAAAAACAAGTGACATATAGTGGTTCGGCCTCACCTGGTCTATGTCCACTCCTCCAAGCTTTCCCTTTAGGAATATTCCACTATCTCTTTTTGTTGAGGTGTTATTAAACCTTTACACACAATTGTTTCACAAAGTGCAATTGAAAACTCACACACACAAGACTTACTTTATCTCACTAAAAATGCCCAAAATTCCAAGAGTGTGACACACTCTTTTACAATCCAAGAATAGAATGGTTTTTACAATAAAACTCTCTCAATATAATGGATAACAAGTGTATAGCCCAAAGGAACACAATCTACAAAGATACAAGTGTTGTTGCACCAATGGGTGTGAGCTAGAATATGAGATTTACTATTGAAAGCTCTCTAAAATGATTTAAGCACTTTTGGTTTGTGTATATGCAAGTTTAGGATTAGCCGAAGTTGATTAGGAATGGGTTTTATTGAATTCATATAGAAAAGTGCAAACATATAGTCGTTGTGCCAAAAAATCAAACTTGAAAATCCCAGACTTTGGTCGACCGCTTTGCATCCAGTCAATTGGGTTTGACAAGGCACTTACCTAGCGGTCACGTGACACTAGTCGTTAAAAGACTAAACTGACAAATGGACCATCACTTTTGTAAATTTTTTTATAAGTATTAATATAGCAATAATATGTTGGAGTTATCGACTACTTCAGCATTAATGGATAACGTAGACGCATTCGGGGGTCTCGTTGCCTAGTTAACGGGCAGGTGCCCCACTCCCCGGTGAGCAGGTGGAGGTCGTGGGGGCACGCCCCTGAGCCCATAGGCGGTTTTGGGCTTTTCCATGTATAACCGTTGTAGGATTTCTTTTAAGTTACTAATTCTTTATTGGGTTGGGCTTAAGAATAGGAATCCTTGTAAAACTAGGTTTAGTCTCTTAAACTTAGTATATAAACATATTTTTCTCTTGTTATGGGAGTGATAGCAAATCATAGGGTAATTCGTTCATTGTAAACGAGAAAGGTGAGGCATATTGCAATTGACTCAGCTGGACGTAGCCCACATTGGGTGAATCAGGGTAAATCACGCGTGTTATTTTCTTTGTTTACTGTTTGATTTGTTTTACTGTTATATTTTGTTCATGTTATTGCCTCTATTTCGTTCATAATACTATATTTACAAAGAAATCTTACAAAGATTTTCATACAAAGTGATGTGGCAAAAAATAAATGAAAGAGTGAAACTTGTAAAATTTCTTTGCAAGTGTAGTATTACTCTTAATATAGAGGTAAATACTCAGTGGTCGCTTGGTTATATCCGTTGATAACAATTCAGGACACAATGATTTTTTCAGTAGCAAAAAGTCCCTAGAACTAAGAGACGTTAGGATATTCTATTAACCAACATGACATCTTTTGCATAAAGGCTAAAATGCCCCTTGAATGAACAAAAAATTAATGTGGAATAAAATTAAAACACCCAACAACACTTTTCTTTATAAGCAGTACAAATTTGCTAATACTTGTAGTTACCCAATCACAACTCCAAATACTTAACACTAAAAATCTACTGCACCAAAACTACAGAAGAAAAAACAAGATTTGAGAAAATAATAAATAAATAATTCCTCCATAAGAAACACAAAAATCTTATGCAGTAATCGAAAAACAAATTCCTTTGAATATAGCATTTATTCAATTCAAATCACCACCCCACCCCACATGTTGGAGTTGTCGATTACTTCAGCATTAATGGGTAACGGGATGCACTCGAGTGTCCTAATTCCTTGGTTGGGCTTAGGAATAAGAATCCTTGTAAAACTAGGTTTAATCTCTTAAACCTAGTATATAAACATATTTTTCTCTTGTTATGGGTGGGAAGCATTCATTCATTGTAAACGAGAGAGGTGAGACATATTGCAATATATTGACTCAGCTGGACGTAGCCCACATTTGGTGAACCAGGGTAAATCGCGCGTATATTTTCTTTTTTACTGTTTTTTTGTTTTACTAAATTTTGTTCCTGTTGTTGTCTTATTTCGTTCAATTGGTATCAGAGCCAGGTTCTGTTAGATCATGATTTAGAGATGGCGGGATCAAAGGTTGAGATTGAGAAGTTCGATGGCAAATGCTTCGAGCTTTGGAAACTGCAGATGGAGGATCTACTCGTTGATAGGGACCTGTGGGGTGCATTTTGTGATGATAGGTCGAGCCGAGACTGCCGTTGTTACGACGAGTGAAACGTCTGGAACTGGATTGTCAAGTACGCTGGGTCTAAACCTACTGAAGGAGAATATCAACGACTGATCGTGCCGCACTTGCTGAATGGACAGAGGATCGAAAAGCCAGAGGTTTGATTTGCATCTGTCTGAGGACTCTGTTCTAACGATGTGATGGATCAGGATACGGCTAAGGGTTTATGGCAGAAGCTGGAAAATATGTATCTGGTAAGTCTTTGGTGACGTGTTGTTCCGTCGCAAGAAACTCTACAATCTCCGTATGCATGATGGGGATTATCTTGCTGCCACATCTGGATGAGTTTAATACTCTGGTGAATCATCTGCTGGCTGTGGATGTACAACTCACCGAATCTGAGAAAGTGGTAACATTGTTATGCTCGTGCCGTATAGTTGGGACAACCTGTTGTTGCGATTGGTGGTGGAGGATTGACACAGATGTCGTGGGAATCTGTATGTTCTCATTGTTGGCAGAGGATATGCGGCGAAGAGGTTCAGAGGGTTCGTCTAGGGATGCTTTAACTACTAGGGACGAAACCTGTAGAATTCTAATAAGTCGGCGACAGGGGAAAGTCGCTAGGTAGATCTAAGAGCAGGAAAAAGTAAGATTAAATGCTGGAGATGTCAGGAATTTGGGCATTTAGAAAGACGTGCAGAAACAAACCGGTGAAGGGAAGAAGCTAAACTTCGTACAAACGGAATCAATGGTGATATGTATGTGGCTGTTGCATGTATGGCTGGATCAGACCAATCAGTCTGGTATGTTGATACTGGTGCGTCGTTCCATATGACAACTCACAGGAATGGTTTTGTGAGTATAAGACATACAATTGAGGAAACGTTCTGTTAGGAGATGAATTGCTGTAAGATTATTGGCCGGCGGGAAAATTAGGCTGAGGTTGCATGATGGTTCAGTGAGGACGCTCCCTGAAGTGATGCACATCTCTGGTATGAGTAGAAATCTGCTCTCTATTGGAACAATGGCTGACGCAGGTAATAGTATTCAATTGTGACAGAACATCCTGTAAGATGACTCGAGGATCTATGGTTATTGCACGAGGAGTTCGACATGGTACCTATACAGGCTGCAAGCATCAGTTGTAAGAAATTCCTCTTTGGGTGGTTATGTTTTGGAAAAGAAGGCTGAAAAGAAATTGATTCTGCAACAGTGGCTTACGAATGGGGCACATTGGAGTGCGCTTTGTCTACTTTGGTGACTCAGAATATGATTGAAGGTATTCCTAACTGTTCCATGAGTTTTGGTTTTTGTGAAATGTTACAGCAAGCAGAATCGGGTAAGTTTCAATCGACAGCACGAGAGCAACAAAAAACTGGAGTATTCATAGTGACATTTTTGGCGCCACTTTAGTGGATATGTATACGTACAGTATTATGTTCTTTCATTGATATTTTTCTAGATACTATTGGGTTTATTTCATCGCCAGCATCTGAGGCTTTTGAGAATTTCGGGAATTAAAAGCCTTAGTTAGAATCAGTTTGACAGGAAGATTAAAGCTTTGCGAACTAATATGGCAGTGAGTTTTGCTCTAGTAAGTTTGGCAATTTTGTGCGACAACGAATTGCAAGGCAGAAAACTACACTTTACACACGTCAACACAAATGGCAAAATGTATGGCTGAACGTCTCAATCGGTCACTTTTAGAGAAGGCTAGATGTATGCTGAATACGACAGATTTGGGTCTGAATTTTGGGCTGAAGCTACAGCGATGCGTGTTATTTTTGAAGATCGGTCTCCCCACTTCTTCTGTTAAAGACACACCATATGAAGCTTTGTATGGTAGAAACCAATCTGTCTTTTATTAGAGTTTTTGGTTGTGATGTGTATGTGCATGTGCCAAAGGAGAAAAGAGCAAGCTGCTAGTAAATCTGAGAAGTGCAAGTTTGTGGGGTTCAAGATGCATCAAGGATACAAGTTGTGGAATCCTGTGAGTGAAGCATTACCTACAGCAGACGTAATCTTTAGAGAGGTAAAACAACGTGTGGGAACTCCTGAAGATCTTGAGCAGTCAAAGAAAATTCAGTTTGAAGTGACTACTGTAGACAAGAGGAGGAGATGATTCCTAATGTTGCTGGCAGAGACTAAAAATTTAGAGTCTACAGAATCTGAGCCATGAAGATAAACTTGATAGTATGGCTGATGAGGGTTCTATGGATGATTTAGGATGATTCTGGATGAAGTTGTGGTGCCATCAACTTTGAAGAGATCTACAAGAGTTGAAAGGCACCAGTTCGTTTCTCTCTAATTGCCTTGAGTGGATTACATGCTTAATGTGATGTGATGAGATCTAGGAATGTAAATGAAGCAAGAGCCATGGAAGATGCAAATCTGTGGGAGGTTGGCGATGAATGATGAGATGCAGTCACTGGACAAGAATGTACATGGATCCTATGTAAATTGCCTAAGTAGAAAGGCAATTGGTTGCAAGTGGGTGTTCAAAGAAAGTTGCAGCAGATGGAACAATGGCAAAGTATAAGGCGAGACTCATTGCAAAAGGTTCTCGCAGATTCAGGGTGTTGATTATGTGAGATTTTCTCTCCCTATGGCCAAGTTAACATCAATCAGTGTATGTTCTATCTATTGCTGCTGCGTTTGATCTTGAAATTAGAAATTTGATGTAAAGACGGCATTCTTACATGGAGATTTAGAGGAGGAAATTTACATGAGGCAACCTGAGGGTTTTGTATGTAAAGGGAAGGAAGACTTGGTGTGTAGGTTGAGAAGTCTCTGTATGGTCTTAAACAATCACCAAGGATGTGGTACCAAAAGTTTGACTCCTATGTCTCCACATGGTTTTTAGCCGCAGCAACGGGATCACTGTGTGTATGTAAAAAGATTAGAAAATGTCTTTGTTATTTTAACCTTATATGCAAATGATATGTTGTCTGATAGGGAATAGCAAGGAGTTGATAAATTCTGTGAAGGGTCTATTGGCTGCACAATTTGACATGAAGAATCTTGGGGCTGCAAATTTTATTTTGGGTATGCAAATAACTAGAGATTGTCAGAGTTGTAAATTGTGGTTAGGGCAGAGAAAGTACATCGAGGAGGTGTTGAAGAATTTAACATGGTAGACTGCAAACCTGTGAAACTCTATAGACTTGGGAGTGAAATTTCTACTGATCAGTGTCTTAAGTCTGAGGAAGATGCCGAAGAAATGACACATGTGCCGTATGCAAGTGCTGTAGGTATTTTGATGTATGTCATGGTGTGCACGCGACCCCATATTGCACAAGCAATGGGAGTTTGAGTCGCTTTAATGTCAATCCTGGTAGGAGCATTGGAGTGCTGTAAAGAGGTTTCTTAGATATCTTCGCGGACCTCGGATTTATCATTATGTTATGGAGCTGCGACTGGGGATAGCGCTAGATGTGATAGGTTTTGTGGATGCTGATGTGGGAGGTGATCTCGATAGTAGGCGTTCCACAAGTGGGTATGTATCTCTTTATTGGTGTTGCTGTTTGTTGGATGAGTAAGGCAAAGTACTGTGGCTTTGTCATCAACTGAGGCAAAGTACATGGCATTGACACATGCTGCAAGGAAGTTATGTGGCTTCGAAGATTGAGTTTAGAGCTTGGTTTCAAGCTTGATGCTGTGAAGATTGGATGTGACAATCAAGGGCTATTTACTTAGCCAAGAATCCTGCCTTTCATTCGCGATCAAAACACATTGACATACAATACCATTTCATCAGGCAAAAGTGGAGAAAAAAAATTGGTGTTGCTAGAGAAGGTTGATACACTTGTTAATGCTGCAGATTTTCTTACCAAGGTGTGATGCTTAGCAAAGTTTACATGGTGTGTTGATGAGGTAGGCCTTCGTTGGGTGAAGTTTTCGCCAAGTGGGAGAATGTTGGAGTTGTCGACTACTTCAGCATTAATGGGTAACGGAGACACCGCTCGGGGGTCCTAATTCCTTTTTGGGTTGGGCTTAGGAATAGAATCCTTGTAAACTAGGTTATATCTCTTAAACCTAGTATATAAACATACTTTTCTCTTGTTATGGGGCGGAGCCGCATTCATTCATTTTAAACGGAGAGGTGAGACATATTGCAATAATATTGACTCAGCTGGACGTAGTCCACATTAGGTGACAACAGGGTAAATCGCGCGTATTATTTTCTTTGTTTACTGTTTGTTTTGTTTTACTATTATATTTTGTTCCTGTTGTTGTCTCTATTTCGTTCACACCATTTGTAACAATCCACCATGTATCACGACTCAGATACTTTCCCATTTGAAACGAAAATTATTAAATTTAAAAAAAAAAAAAAAATACCACCACCAGATTCACAAGCACAACGCCATCCACTAGATCACGGCACTGCTAGGCACACAAGTTCCTTGACTCCAACCACTCAACCACCCACAATTAGAGCCCCCACTCGTAGCCAGTGATTGTCATCATATGTGGCATTGAATTTAAATGAAGTGATGATGATTAGATGAGATGTCAATGCCCATATGTTGACACATAAATGATAAGTCTTTGGGATGAATACTCTTAATTTAAATGTTTGACTTAAATTTTTAACACAAATTTTTAACGGTTTATGATAAACCGTTAGATTCACGAATCAATGGCTACCTTCAACTCCTATCTCATATCCATTAGATTGCAATAATCAATGGCCATGAATTTAAGTTCCAATTTAAGTTAAAGATTGCATCCCTTAATATAAATGGTGAATATATATTCATAAAGATAAATCATTTTTTTATTGTAATATGAAGATGTGAAATTTTATTGATAACTGAAGAAAAATTAAATCTTAAAAAAGATTATGTTAAATTAAATGATTCTCTAATAATTATTCTTTAAAACCATTATAAATCTTTTTATACTTTAGTAGTAAATGTTAACTCTTAAGTAAAAATTCCTATAACAATAATGCATTTATGTCCCAACTTTGAAATAAGTAACATTTTTATTCTTTTAATTAACTTTTAGTTGTTTTTCCCTTATCAATAGCTGGAGATATTCT